ATTTAACTTATATGCAGAGTACATCATGAGAAATGCTGGGCTGGATGAAGCACAAGCTGTAATCAAGATTGCCAGGAGAAATATCAGTAACCTCAGATATGATTGATGATACCACACTTATGGCAGAAAGCAAAGAACTAAAGAGCCTCTTGATAAAAGTGAAAGAGGAGAGTGAAAAAGTTGGCTTAAAACTCAACATTCAGAAAACTAAGATCATGGTATCCGGTCCCATCACTTCATGACAAATAGATGGGAAACAGTGGAAACAGTGGCAGACTTTATTTTTGGGGGCTCCAAAATCACCGCAGATGGTGACTGCAGCCATGAAATTAAAAGACACTTGCTCCTTGGAAGGAAAGTTCTGACCAACCTAGACAGCATATTAAAAAGCAGAGACATCACTTTGGCAACAAAGGTCTGTCTAGTCAAAGCTAAAGTTTTTCCAGTAGTCACATATGGATGTGAGATTAGGACTATAAAGAAAGCTGAGCACTGAAGAATTGATGCTTTTGAACTGTGGTGTTGGAGAAGACTCTTGAGAGTCCTTTGGACTACAGTGAGATCAAACCAGTCCATCCTGAAGCAAATCAGTCCTGAATTCATTGGAAGGACGATGCTGAAGCTGAGACTCCAATAATTTGTCCACCTGATGCGAAGAACTGACTCATTGGAAAAGACCCTGATGCTGGGAAAGATTGAAGGCGGGAGGAGAAGGGGATGGCAGAGGATGAGATGGTTAGATGGCATCACCGACTCAATGGGTATGAGTTTGAGTAAACCCCGGGAGTTGGTGATGGACAGAGAGGCCTGGCATGCTGCAGTCCATGGGGCCAGAAAGAGTCAGACATGACTGAGCAACTGAACTGAACTTCAGCATCTTAATAGTAAACTAGTAATATCAAGAAATAACAGTCTTAGCATGGAGATGTGAAATAACTGTTTAGTCATGCATAAAATGCAGACACCCGCAGTTAAACCAAGAGCTTGTTTTATGTTGTATCAAACAGTTGAGCTTCTCTTCTAGTGCTGGGTTCTACACGAGTTGAAACTACAGTTGTGGGAAAGTGGTGTAGAAACCAAACCCGAATCTGGCGTTGTTTCACTGCTTTCCCATCCTCTTTGCAATAGTGAATGAGAGGGCCTTGTAATTCTGCCATTGTCTCTCATATGTGAAAATTTCTTCTGATTTCATGGGAACCTTGGGAAATATCTGAGCCAATTAGTGATTTTAGGGAATGTTAGTTCTGTGTGTAGGGTGCCTATCTGATTATCCGGTTTCCCACAAATGCCTTTTTGGATTGTTTTGAAATTTGCTCCATTGATCGTATCTGCTGTGCGATTAGAGGCTTTTGGTATTTGGGTGAAGAAGTCTATGAGGATAACTGTTGCCTCTGGGAGGAATAGGCTTAAGTAGCGTTTTTGTCTAAGTTTGACGTGGCTTATTTGGTCCTGTGGTTGTGCTCGATGAAAACCTACTTGGAGTGACACCCTTTCTTTCTCCACTTCTGTGATGCAATAATATTTAGACTGTCTAGAGGCCCGGTCAGAGAAGGCAGTGGCACCCCACTCCAGTCCTCTTGCCTGGAAAATCCCATGGACAGAGGAGCCTGGTGGGCTGCAGTCCATGGGGTCCCTAGGAGTCGGACATGACTGAGCGACTTCACTTTCACTTCTCACTTTCACGCACTGGAGAAGGAAATGGCATTCCACTCCAGTGTTCTTGCCTGGAGAATCCCAGGGACAGAGGGCCTGGTGGTCTGCCGTCTATGGGGTCTCACAGAGCCGGACACGCCTGAAGCGACGCAGCCGCAGCAGCAGCAGCAGAGGCCTGCTGGCCTCATGTTTTAAAGCGGGCCAAGGAGCACCCTGAAGAGTAGAAGCTTCATTCATAAGCTTGATGAGGAGCCTTTTCACCATGGGAGGCCTTCTGTTGTCAGACTACCCTATATTGTGCAAGGTTTCCAGTGACTCATTCCATCTCCAATGTCCTAAGTGTGTTTTCATGAAAATATGTTAAACAACATGATACCATTCTAGCTACTGTATGGAATGAATTGCTTGCTCATAGGTACAGTTCTTCAAAGTTTAGGACCTAATATTTTATTGAGGGCTAGTCTATATAAAAGTTACTTTCCTTGTCTAATAATGTATGGTCGTGTGTTGTGGTTTTTTTTTTTTTTTTTAATTAAATTTGTAAATACTACTCTTTAAATTGCTTGCTTTTCTTGGGACTTTAAAGCAACAAATAAAGGTATATAATTTGAAAATAAGTTTTCTTGTTTTTCTAAGAAAACAAGACGTTATTTGCTAAAGACATTATTTGCTTCTCAGAACTCGGTTAAAGAGTGTTTATTCTTTAAGATAAAGAGATTGCTAAAATTCATTGACTTCTGCAGTCTCTGATCTCATCATAAATTTGATTCATTTCATTTGTGGACCTTGCATTAAGATAATTGGGAGGGGAATTGAAGACCATTGGCTTTAAACAAATTCAAAATAGGAAATAAATAAATTTCGAACATGATAAAATTAGGGGCTCTTGGCAAAGTCATAATACTGAATTCTTCAAGTAATAATTTAGTGTCCAGTTTGCAACAAATCGTGTAAACATTACGTGCACGACTGACTCACAGAAAACTTGATGCAGCGCTGTCTGGCCTTTGATTGCTGAACTGACTGTGTACGGGCTGTGGCGTTGAGTCTGTGCCCTCCCCCCCCTCCTTCGCTTGTTCTTGTGGGGTAGTTCCCGCTGCACCCCTTTGTAAACTGAGGTGGAGAAGCACAGTTTAACTCTTAGTGTGACCCTGAATAGACGTAAAGGTAGTCAGATGCTGAAATTAAAGCTTCCATTTGTGACATAAAGCAGACGTCGGATGAAGGGATCCTCCTATTGCTTTGGGTAAGAAGTAGAGGGAAATATTTTGGCTTTCTTAAAAGTTTGTATTTGAGAAGTCATTTCAGGGTTCAATTTTACTTATCATTATGTTTTACAAACAGTCTCTTGTTAATTCTGTGACTAGTTTGTCCCTCAAAGAGGTCTGTATTCTTATACTACATTTGTAATCTCTCTGAACCCAGCCTTGGTGAACATTGGTCTACCTCGCCTCATAAAATATTGGTAATTTATTTCAAAAGGTATTACAGGAGATGCATAGTACGAAGTGCAAACCCCGACTAGTCTTATCATGTTAACTGTTGTTTCCAAATCGTAATTCAATATATTTACCTCCCTGAGACTTGGGATGACCTGCCTTTCATATCATGAAGCATCAGTTACTATTTTATTTCTGTTGTACTTTCTTGAACTAAATAGTTAGTCTGCCAGGAATACTCTAACCATTTTGTAATAGTGAAGCATGTGCAATAGTTCAGTTCTGTTCTCATAAGCTTTGTGCCATGTAGAAAACAGTTCTATTAGATGTCTCTGGCTAATTGGCCTGGTGTGAACTTCATATTAATTTGTTCTAGCAATGATAATAACAGGCACTGCTGGAAATGCCTTATATGATTTAAGTCATTTAATTCTCACAACCACTCTCTTATATGGCTATTCCTTGTTCTATTTAAGCACTGCAAATAAGCATCCTTGTATCTTTTCTGTTTTCATTTGCCCAGCTTTCTCATGAGATTAATCACTAGAAATGGAATTTAGGATTCAAAGCATATGTACTTAAACATTTTTAATACAAATTGCTTAAAATGCCTTAAACATTCTGTTTTTGTATGTTTCCATGTTTTGCTCTTTGAGGGAACCTTGGTTTGCTGCCTCACTTTTTGACCTGGGCGCGAACCTGGGCCCTCGCAGTGAAAGTGCATGGTCGTAACCACTGGACCACCAGGGAGCTCCCTCAGTTAAGTTGGGTCCCACAGAAGACAGTCCATATCTCCGCCTTCCCAGCCTCAGAACTGTGTGGCCAACAGCGGTAAAGCAGTCTGAGCAGGGCTTTTCAAACCGCGCCCCCGTGAGCCCTTGCCGAAGGGGCAGGCCAAGTTGTCCATGTAGATTGGAGCGCCTCACCTGCTGTCAGGTTAACATACTGCTGGGATTCTTTCTGCATAAAATTTCCTTTGAAAAATAGATCCTTTAGCTTTAACAACAACAAAAGTACTTTTTAGTATTCCAGTATTTACTGATGGCTGGGTGGGACAAATTGCTTTGTCTTAAGCAAACTGCAGGTGGCATAGAGTAAGGGATTGGGAAAACAAGCAGTTGTTTCAAAGAGAGAATGCTCAGAAAAGTGATGCTTCCTTGGGACATGTGCTATCCCTAAAGTTTTCCAGTATAAACTGGATTTCTGTTGCTTTGAAATTCTATCAGAATTGCTCAGAGGTGCAGCCGGGAGGCCTTAATAGCCACTCTTGGCTGCAGTGTCCTTGGAACGCTTTCACATCGAGCCTTGAAAATCTGCTTCCGTGTGTGCTAGTGAGGCCCATAGCTAGGGGCCCAGAGGTCACTTGTTAACATTTGACTTACAGGATAAAGAAGAACTGCATTCTGCCTTCTCTTTTACTGTGTTTGGTAACGGCGGTCATGTTTAAGTTGTGTCCCGCCTCTGTGCACACCCCTCCGTGGAGCCTGTGCATGCTTTCCTCTGATCTCTGTTAAGCTTACTGAAGGGGTGGACAGGAGGGTCAGCATCGCTGAGCACCAGCTGCGTGCCCAGCACTGTGCTGGGCGCTTTGAACTCCTGTTTAATGACACGCGGCAGCCTGAGGACAGATGCTCTCATCCTGAGTCGTGTGACCACACGAAGTGACGAAGTCTGAGAGGCTGGGCAACTCCGAGCTCGCTCCGGCTTCTCTGCTTCCGTTATAAAGGAAGTGTGAACTGGCGACGGTCTTCTCTCAGCCCTGCACACCCAGCTGTCTCCTCCTCTCCCTGATGCTTTGTTGTGTTGGTTCCTGTTCTGTCGCTGTGTCAGGAAACAGTGGTCTGTAGACCGCCTGCCTGCAGCTTGTGAGGTGCTGATCCTAACCATGCTGTTGTTGACTTCTCTCAGGGTCCTATCCTTCCCCCAAAGCTGGAGCGACTCTGGTTGTATACAAGGACCTGCTGGTGCTGTTTGGTGGCTGGACACGGCCAAGCCCTTACCCCCTGCACCAACCAGAGAGGTTCTTTGATGAAATACATACTTATTCACCCTCTAAAAACTGGTAAGCCACAAAGATTAGATCCTTTCAATCTGGAATAGGAAGGTTTAAAATGACTGGATTCCTTATCATTTTGTGTATGTCCAGAAATCTCTTTGATAATCTGTTGAAAGCTTTGGACTCCTGCCAGAAAAATAAAAATTTTTTTACATATGCACAGATTTTGCCTACAGTTTCAGAGGGTTTACAGGACCCTCCCTAGAACTTGAATTTAAGCATGCGTATTCCAGAGAGGAAAAAAGTAGAAGACATGTATTCCTTTTGCAAGAAAAGTGAATGAGCCAGTTGAAGAGCAGAGAGCTCCTCAGCCCCGGCTGCCAGCACCCCGGGAGTGCTGTGGGCCCAGAGGACACCACCTGCTGTCCCCAGACTGACTCCCAGTTGCTGCACAAACTTGTCTTTTTAAAATGACAATCACCTCTGTTTCCTTGTGATGGACTGCTCAGCTACGCAGCACAGGGCTCTTGGCAGCTGCTACTGATCCGAAAATCAGACCTGTAGAAAGAAACGGCAGGTGGTGCGCCTTCAGCAAGCTAGGCTGACGCAGCTCAGGAAGCCGGGTGGAGTCCCTGCCGCTCTTTTCTCATCTCCTCTGTGTCTGAGCCTTATGCGTTGGGAGGCTGAGGGTGAATAGAGCTTCAGCAGATCCGTTGAAAAGGCATAATACCTTGTGCCAGCCTCCGTTTAGTGTCTAACAGTTTCTCTGCTGAAGGTGATAGGATTGTCGTTTTAGACGATGCCTGCTTCCTGTCTTCCGTCTTAAGCACAGATGGCCAGAGGCAGAGGCCCTGACTTCTTTGCCCCCCTGTCTCTCTGTGTTAGGTGGAACTGCATTGTGACCACCCACGGCCCGCCTCCCATGGCTGGGCACTCCTCTTGTGTGATAGACGATAAAATGGTCGTCTTTGGCGGCTCCCTAGGATCCCGGCAGATGTAAGTACATTTGGTTGGCTTGCTGGCACCCTGAAGATGAACACTCCTGGAAAGGTCAGCTAGGGCAGGAAAGGAAACCAGTCAGGGTCAAGATCGCTGAGCATGGTTCTGATCAATCCAGTGAGTTATCTCACCCTGGTGTTCCGTTTTTTGGTTCTAGTCACAGGCCAATAAATTGAGAAACTTGCTCCATAAAATCAGGACTATGGGCATCTTATATTCTATTAAATGTTTTTGTGCGTGTGTCCTTTCTAAGGTGAGGTGCACCTGTATATAGACAACCTTTTAGTCAAGCCCCTCAGCATAATTTATATATGTTTTAATAATTGCCTTGCTGGTATAAATGTTTGCATTTGAAAAAGTTATATGAGATTGTTGCCTGGAAGACTTGCTTAACCTTATAAAGTTGAATAATAATCACTGAATTTTAGCAAGGATTAATGGTTAAGCTGATATGAAATATTAGATTTGTCAACCCCATATTGGCTGGCACCAAGATGTGTTCTATGAATGTCATTACTCTGAATTAAGAATTAATGTTCAACAATCCTAGATTATGTTTTTTTTTTTTTTAGATTATGTTTTAAATGTTTGATATAAATTGTAAAAAGTGTGTGTTTGTTTTCAGCGTGTCTTTAATTTTAAAATAAAGCTCATTTTTGAAATGTCAAAAAAAAAAAAAAAAAACCAGGGCTATGTAGAATCTCAGTGTTGTCCAGTATGTGGTTTAGTTCAGTGGGATCAAGTTGTGACGGGGCCTCCACCTTGTCTGTTTCTGCCTGTGCCCTCAGAAGGCCACCTTCCAAGAAGCAGAGAACTTTTCCTTGCTCTCCTTGGGGCCCAACTCGTGCCCCTTGGAGCTTTAGAGAAGGAGAGAGGTGAATTGGCATGAGTTGGGAGAGTGGGTAGGAGCAAGGAAGCTGTGCCCAACCTGACACCCTACGTGAGGTTGTCTCCTCCCCACGGCCCTGCAGCTCCGGCCAGAGCAGTCTGTCTGAGGTACTTCATCTGATTTGGCATTATCAGCAGGAGTGGTCGTTTTACCTGTGTTTTGAAATGGCAGTTGATGAGCTGTCAGCAGTAAAACCACTCCAGACCCGACTCTCTTCTCTCTCAGGGTTCTCTGCGTCTTCTTATTTTAGAACACTAAAAAAAAAAAAAAAAATAGAACGCTCATGGAGCGGGGTGTGTGAGCTCTACCCTCCAGGTCAGAGGGTCAGAGCTTAAGGTACTGGGGCGCTCACGCCTGTGTCCCCATGGGTGAATAAACGCCCTCAGAGAGGGGGCCATGAAACAGAGACCGCCGCGGAGGAGTCTGTCCTGACCATGCTGGTCCCCTGAGGGCCGGAGAGGCCAGCTTGTCCTTGACGCAAAAGCTGCAGCTTCATTAGCCATGGTGAAATTACCTTCTGTAGCCAAAGTTGATAAATCTTTATCTCCTGGACAGTGATAGAACTGCCTTTTGAATAATTTTGCTCTCTTCCTTGTGGGGTTTGCCTTTGAAAGACTGTATCACAGCTAGTAGCTATTTCCTGCTATCACCAATTAAGTAACTCTTACTTTAGTTACTGTTTGGCTATAGACATGACTCAAATGTGGCCTTATGGGTCAATGGAAAGAGCAAAGGTTTGACAGTCTCCTTTCCAGGGAAAGGAGGGCAAGAGCAATCTGGCTAAGCGCTAACTGTGAGCCTGGCACTGTGGGAGGCACCCCGATGAGTGCCCCTCGCTTCGCCCGGCCCCCGTGGCCCCGGACGCGCCCGCCCCTTCACGCTCATGTCCTTGTCTTGCAGGAGCAGCGATGTCTGGGTCCTGGACCTGGAGCAGTGGGCGTGGTCCAAGCCCAGCATCTCTGGGCCCGGCCCTCATCCGCGAGGCGGCCAGTCTCAGGTGCTCAGGAGTCAAAGTAGCTATTCAGCAAACACTGTAGCGTCTTTCAGTTAGGACAGGAGAGGGAGGAGGGAGTCAGGTAAGATGCCAGCACACGCACGCCAAGAGAATGTACCATTCTCTCTTGCTGGCACTTATTTTTCAACTTCTGATGGGTTATAATTATTTTTGTTGGCTTTTTATTGTGCCTCTCCCCAAAGCATTTACTTTGCTTTTTTATTTTTTGAGAGAACCCTGCATTTTATGTGGTTGGCACTCTTGTGTTAATAGTATTTAATCAACAAAGAATTCATTCAGGTGAATCATCAGTAGTTTTTTACAAGGATCAGAACTGACATGGTTTGAGGGACTGGGGAGCCTATGGTGAATAGAATACTCTCATTGGGGAGCCGAGTAGGCTATTTTCATTTACCACTGAGGTATTGGAGGTTGGATGCCTGTGTCTTTGTAGGTTTATTTTAAATTTCTTCCTCTCCCAGATCGTCATAGATGATGCAACCATTTTAATCCTTGGAGGGTGTGGCGGTCCCAATGCTGTGAGTATGGCTGGTGTGGCATTCCCATGCACATGCTGCTGAGCTTTCAGAACCTGCTTCCCCTGTCTCACCTTGTAAAACTGCAAGGCCATTTCTGTAGCGTTTCCATTTAGAAAATACCTTTTCAACTTTGGATATATAGCCTCTGCATTTTCTGGCCCTCTTCTCCACTCTTTTGGGGAGAAGGGGGGAAGCTTTTCATTAGAGACATTTATCTCTTAAATATTCATATCTATAGTCTTCCTACTCCCACCAAGTCTTCAGGCTATAAGGTTTGCTGCTGTCATTTTTTACAAAGAGGAGTGAGAGAGGAAAGTAAGTTGATAGTGGCCAGAATTCACATGAAGTTTATTTAAGAATGCAGGTTCAGACATTGTGGATATGTCTTATCTACTACCCTTTCTATCAATGTACACACACACACACATAAAACCACAGGCAAAATTCAAAACCACGTAAAGTTGATTCATGGGGTCCCAAGTACAGTTTCATGTGCCCGGCCAGTGGTCATACGAATGAATGAATGGCCGGAGACTTTGCTCTTCTTCCCGAGGCACTCACACACTGTGACGGACGGTGCAGCTTGGAGATGGTGGCCCTGCATGTGTGTGTGGTGTGTAACCTGTACCACACCTGAGCCCTGCTGTTGGCACTTCCCTTGCAGCTGTTCAAGGATGCTTGGTTGCTGCACATGCACTCAGGCCCCTGGGCCTGGCAGCCGCTCAAGGTGGAGAATGAAGACCACGGGGCCCCAGAACTCTGGTGCCATCCAGCTTGCCGGGTGAGTGGAGAGCCGACGGGCCAGCAGAGGGAGAGGGCCTAAGCTCTAAAGCCAGATTAACTCGTCAGATTGCTAAGCAACTTTGTATGGAAACTGAAAACACCTTGATGTCAGTAAAGAGGCGGACACTGACCAGCTCTTCAGGCATTTCTCACACACGTGAGCCACTGGACGGAAAACCTGTGTGGGACCCACCCATCCCTTAAGCATCTCTGTCTACAAAACTTGCCCCAGGTCCCCCACACAAATACTCGGTTCTTCCCTTTACCCCTACTCTGCAGACATAGTTCAAATGATTGCACATGTCTCACTATACCAACTTTATATATATAACCACTTCGTATGTATAACCAACCACTTTATATGTATAGATTGTCCCATCCAGCCTGGAGGGCAGGCTGGATTCTTTTCATCTTTGTAGGGATCTCAGACACCTACAGAATGCCCGTCCTGTCCCCAACGCTCATGGTAAAATGTTTGATAGTTGAATAAATGATCAGAACTGAGCACACGTCTTTTGTCTTCCAGGTCGGGCAGTGTGTGGTCGTCTTCAGCCAGGCGCCTAGTGGGCGAGCACCGCTTAGCCCCAGCTTGAACTCCCGCCCATCCCCTATCAGTGCCACCCCTCCAGCCCTGGTTCCCGAAACCCGAGAATACCGCTCGCAGTCTCCCGTGAGGAGCATGGATGAAGCGCCCTGTGTTAATGGCCGCTGGGGAACACTGAGGCCTAGAGCGCAAAGGCAGACCCCCTCAAGTTCCCGAGAAGGAAGCCTTTCCCCAGCCAGGGGTGATGGCTCACCCATCCTGAACGGGGGAACTGTGTCTCCAGGGTCGGCCGCTGTAAGTGGCTCTTCCTTGGACAGCCCCGTGCAGGCTGTGTCTCCAAGCACCCCGTCTACCACCGAAGGATACGACCTGAAAATGGGGCTGTCCCTGGCCCCTCGACGAGGATCACTGCCTGATCAGAAAGATCTAAGGTTAGGATCAATAGATCTGACTTGGGACCTGAAACCTGCTTCCAGTGGCAATCACGTGGATGGCATGGACAGCAGGACAGCGGGGGGAGGCTTGCGACACCCTCCCGAGCAGACAAACGGTGTGCACACGCCGCCGCACTTGGCTAGCGCCCTCGCGGGAGCCGTCTCCCCAGGCACCCTGCGCCGCAGCCTGGAAGCTGTCAAAGCGATGTCGTCCAAAGGCCCCCCCGCCTCCGTGGCACTGAGCCCTCCCCTGGGGTCTTCTCCGGGCTCCCCTGGGAGCCAGAACCTGGGCAGCGGAGAAGCAGTGCCTGTCCCCCGCCCGGGGCCCGCACAGGGGGACGGGCACGCCCTGCCCCCCATCGCCCGCCGCCTGGGCCACCACCCCCCGCAGTCCCTGAATGTGGGCAAGCCCTTGTACCAGAGCATGAACTGCAAGCCCATGCAGATGTACGTGCTGGACATCAAGGACACCAAGGAGAAGGGGCGCGTCAAGTGGAAAGTATTTAACAGCAGCTCTGTGGTTGGACCTCCCGAAACCAGCCTGCATACAGTGGTACAAGGCAGGGGTGAACTCATCATATTTGGAGGACTCATGGACAAGAAACAGAATGTGAAGTACTATCCAAAAACAAACGCCTTGTACTTTGTGCGAGCAAAGAGATAATATGTTCTAAAACCTTTCCCCTTTCTGTGGCTTTTAATTTGGAATTTTCCAGCGTGCAAGCATTTGGACTGAGAATTGAGAAAACAGAGGACAAAATCACTCTCATAAACCAAACCCCAGTTCCCAGCCTCACCCACTCCAGGCTGGGATCAAATCTCCATTAAGAAAAAAAAAATTATATAAATCTATAAAGAAATATTATATAGCCAACTCTGTTCACAAAGAGGGCGAGAGCTCCGTCCTGGTTCAGATAAAACTGTTGCTGTGTTTTAGCAGAGGCTCTGCCGCCTTTTTCTACTTTCCTGGTAACTAGGCCAAGAATTTAGGGAACAGATTAATGCCAGAACCTTCCTACAGAAACTGAAGAGCCACCTGTAAATCCTATTTGGCCTCCTCAGAGCTAGATACAGAAAGGGCATGCGTAGAGTGCACGAGCAGGGGTTCCAGACTCACAGGCTTTCGGTGCTGGCGGGTGAGGTGACGTGTGGACCTGCCCTCTGCCCACAGAGGGCCTGAGGCCGCTGTTGTCTGCAGCGGTGCCCTCTGCCCGGCCTCCTCTGCCCATTGGGACTGAGGAAAGTTACCCAGCGGGGATCTGCTCCACTGTGCCAGGGTCGTCGTGAAACAACGTTCACTCAGAAGCACCTGTTTGCGTGCTCCCTCCATGTCTTAGAAAACACTCTGGGGTCTGATTGTGGAATTTTCTAATAATCATATTTCATCACAGTTTCCAAAATCCATATTTATTCTCTTTCTCTTTCCCTTTAAACCTGACGCTTGGAGGCCTCCTTCTCTGTTTACAGCTGCTGTTCTCCCCGCCTCCCTCCCCCACATTCTTTTTCTTTACCATGTGAAAATTTTTTAAGCCCTAAAACCTTTCTCACTTTCTTTTACTAAGTTTGGGTGTCTAGAGAAATCTCTTAGAAATATTTCTGAAACCCCGTTTCTCAAGTCACTAGGGGACCAGCAGGGAGTTCTGAGATACCAGTATCATGAGAAATCCTTGATGCGTCAGAAGTTACTGTGGGCTTCTTTTTATTTCCAAAGCACATTGGACACACCTATCCATGTTTATAGAACGTGGAAATTGATCTTGGAAGAGCAGTTCTTTCTAGAATGGTTTTCGCCCTTGCTTGTGGCATGCATTCTTCTGCCTGGCTGTTGACTGGTGCTTGGGTTCTCTGAAGCATGGCTGACCTCAGGGTCGGTTCTTTCTTTGTCTTGTTCACCTGTCACCCAAACAAGGCTTGGGTTTTCACTTTCATGTCATTTCTGAGGTAACATTTCCAACCAGAGCAGTGTTGGTGGGGTAGGGGGCGGGGGGCTGACATGGGAAATTATGTTACCAGTCTCTAAACCATGACCTGGACAAACATGCATCGGCACCACTTAAGTATGGATCATTTTGGAGACTTTTCATCAGAAGAGCGTTATCTTGCCTGCAGGTCTTGATTTTGTTTCTTAGTCCCGCTCTCCTCATTTTCTTGTCCGCATTTCCCGAGCCGAAGCACGCTGCAGCTGGCCCTGGGTCCTGGCGCCCAGCCAGCTCTCAGCAGCCTGTCTGATAAGCCTGCTTTCTCCTGTTACATCATGTTAAACCCTTTACCCGAGCCATTAGCTTTTACAATGTGGTCTTGGTGGGAAAGCGCCCTTGGTGCCAAGCCCAGTAAAGGGCCAGCTTGCGGGGAGGGGTACGTGCTCCCCGGCCGAGGAGCCTGCCGTGTGCCTACTTAGTGTGGTGTCCAGCTGCTCTCAGCTCAGCAGTTAGCTTTCCAGACTCTACTCTGGGCCCGTTGCCAGGCCTTCTTTGGCAAAGACCGTTAGATCGTGCGGGGGTCCTTATTCACAAGAGAAAGCTAGCCTAGAAGACTAGCAATTTTGGCGTTACTATTGCTGGACCTTGTCTATATATTGCATCTGTGCATGGACAGTGCCTCAGAACTCACTCAGAAATATAAAGTATTAGGAAGCCTGAAAGTTCTGAGTCTCAACTTGGTGATCTTTCCCTTTGTCCCGTGGCCTTCCTAAACCGGCTGTTAACCTGTCCGTTCCTTCTGCTGACCCCAAGCGGGCGGGCAGCAGAGCTGATGCCTCTCGTAGCTCCATGGCCTCCCAGGATCGCCCACGCCGCCTGGGAGCAGACTGTTTACAGCTCCTCTAAGAAGGCTCTGCCTCTGCCGCCCCCGCGGCGTCGGTCCCGGTGACTCTTGGGCACTGTGGTCGGGTGTCCGGGGAGAGCGACGCAGCCCAGCCCAGATGGCCGCTGCCTCGGGTGCGGGGGGGCTCCGGGCGACCCGGCCGCTGCGGACGCTTCAGTCAGATCCAGCTGAACCACCACTCTGGTTTTGACGTGATGCCGATTTTGTCTTAAAATTCACTGAGGAAACAGAATATTTTTTTAAAGCCTCAGCAGCACCTGAGCAAATATTTATCAGTATTTAAGTACTTAAGGTACCTGTTGTCTCTACTTGAAGCTTTAACCCCTTCCGTTCCTGCAAGCGTGCCTTGACAGCCCGCCCCGCCACATTGAGTCACCGGCCGCCACGTTGACGGCGTGAGAGTTGTAGTCTCTTCCTTCCCTTCTGAACAGAGCTTCCTGTCCCCTCATTTCGCAGGCTGTGCAGCAGAGAGGGCTCTGTATTCTTGCTCATATTTCCGCCCTGCTTCTACGCTTTGGTGGTGGGTTCCAAAAACCACCCCCTCCCCACTGCACCCACCCCACTTTTTGGGGAGCACAATTGATGTCAGAACAAGCTTAACTTTCAGTTGTAGAGCAATCCTGAGTTTACTTTCCTCCCAGTCCTCTACAGATTGATTTGGTTTTAACATTTGAGTTTAATATCAAGAGCTGAAACCATGAACTATCCTAGGAACCATGTTGAAACTCTTTAAAAGAAGAAGAGGAAGAAGGAAGAAAAGCAACTCAAGTCTTGACTTCGGAGGACAGAAAGCCACCAATTGACGGAGAACAAGGGGATGCTTCCCTTCCGTTTCGCCTGGTCTTTCTGGGTTTCGTTCTCTTCGCTTCTTTCCTTCCCATTCAGAGCAACATTCCCGGCTGGCTGGTTGGCCGGTCTGTCCTTGACCTTGTGGTCCTGGCACGGTGACATGCCCTGCTTTGCACTATCTGCGGTCTCTTACCAGCGCACAAGTCAGTGGGGGGATCTGAACACACCCAGGGGCAAGGCAGCCAGACTTCAGGCCCGCGCCCCAGGCGGCCTCCCCGTGAGCCGCAGACGCACGTTCCGCAGGGTGGCCCCTCCCCCGTGTTCACTGTCAGATGGAAGCGCGCCTTAGGCGCCGGCGCCGCCGTGCTCTCTGCTCCCTCTCCCCTCCCACAACCAGGGTTGCCGTCAGCGCACGTGTGCTGTGCCCTGACGAAGCTGGTGCTGTCAGTGACATTTCCCACGCGACTCAGGGGTCCTGGGTGGCTTACCCTGAGATGATCACTGTAGGCACACAACAGTGTAGGAATGAAAAGTGGATTTGATTTCATTGATATTTAAATCTCTTGTCGATTTTATTTTTTGTTAATGTTTCCCCCGATGACTTTTTAGCAATTTAACAAATAAAACAAAATGGACCGAATTGTCTTAACTGTTTCATTAGTATAAAAGAAAGCAAGCAAGCTGTGATGAAAAGCAGTTGGAGATTGGAGTTGGAAGCAAAGTAGTGGGAAGGATACTCTTCCTCCAGGTGGGTGGCCCGCCCCTGAGGACGTCATGTGATGATAGTCAACTCTCTACAGCGTGCTAGGAGCACAGGGTTTCACACACGCAGTGCCACCCTGCAGTGGGGCCCAAGAGGTGACAAGCCTGGAGCGCACACCCAGAGGCCAGGGCGCCATTTGCGCCATCGCTGGCCGCCACAGCAAAAATGGGGGACCTCGGGCTCTTGAAACAGCAGATGGGGGTTGGAGGCAGACGCCCTGTGGCCCATCCTGCCATCCCCTATTTACTGCTCAACCTTGGATACCAGTTTCCTCATTTATAAATCTAGTTGTTTCTGGTTTTATAGGATCATGAGGATTAACTGGAAGTTTTATGTGAAAAGCCCAGTGCCGGACTGGCACTTAACTGGTGGCTATTGTTTATAATTAGCCCTTGAAGAAAAGATGTGATCTTGAAGGACAGTGCTGGCCACAGTGTGTAAATTGTTAGGATCACGCCCCAGACTAAGGGTTACGCACGTCCACAGCCATCTGAGTCATTTGATGACCTGTCCCCGTGAGAGCCTCTGAGGCTTTTTTGCCTCAAGCAGAACATAGCAGCTGCTGCCCTCAGTCAGGTCAGAGTGGTCTCAGCAGCTCTGTCTCCCTCTGGACCTCATTCTTCGGTCTGTCACTTGTCCCTTACATTCCTGGGTTTCTGCGCCCAGCGCCATCGTTTTTTCACGCAGCTCAGGCTGAGGATCAGCCTTGTCTCAGGTTAAGGTGCTGTGAGCCTGCGGCTCTCATCCTGCCTGCCCATGTGCGTTGCCCAAGCTGCAGGATGAAACTTCTCCACGTCCAACAACATGTGGTCTGATGCCGTCTGTTCTGTTTTCTGTTCTTTAAAGTATCTGGCAAACTGGACCCTGGTGTTCGGAAGGGTCTCAGGTCACTGGTTTGCTGGAGGCGAGCGGTAGAATGGTTGTTCTGGATGCTCCCACACCTGCCCTCATGGGAGGGCAGGCTTGCTCCTTATGGCTATGGCCCCGTATAGCTCCTTGTTGGGCTCAACACGGTCAGTAGGCAGAAGCTCTAGAGAAGGGTCATTGGGAAGAACTTTCTACAGTTGGAGCCTGTAAGCCAGTGTGGCACCACTGGAGGAATTCTAGCGTTGCCTGGCTACTCAGACTAGGGGATGTCCTAGAGGAGGTGATGTCTGGTGGGTAGGGCGCCAGTGGTGATTGGTGGTCCTGGGGAAGACCCGGCTTTCAGGGCAGGTCAGTCCCACAAGGCTTCCTGTCAGCTTCCTAACAGTCCATCCAGGCCAAGGGCCGCAGTAATGGCAGGGGAG